GCGGCGGTGGCGGTGGCGGCGGCGGCACGACGACACGCGCGACGCTCGTGCGTCTTCTTCCAGAGCCTCTCGTTTTGACCCGCGTTCGAGCTAAGTCCAGCTCCGTACGGCACCTGGTGCATCTCGGCGGCGAGTCACCTCCTCCACCCCCACCACCACCTCCTCCTTCCCCCGATGCTCCTCTTCGACCGGTGTATCTTCCGTTTCTCTCGATCGGCCGATCCGATCAGGCTCGTTTCTAATTCTACCGATGGCCTCGTTCGACCGGAGAAACAGCCCGATCCCTGCGAGCTCGACGCTATTCCTACGATCGAAGAAAACGCGATGGTCGGCGTTTTTGACGGGGATCCTGGCCTCTGGCCGGCGGCGGTACTGGGACAAACGATTACGGCGACGGGAATCCGTTGACAGGCTAAAGATCGGACAGACGAGTAACGACGGCGATGACGACGACGACGACCACGACCACGACAGGGAAAAGGCATTCTCGCCTAAACCCCCCATTACCAACTACCCGGTGCCGCTGTATCAGGATCGATCTCACCCGCAAGATGGACCGCCGTAACCGGGTACACCCTATTCGCGTTCTCGGCCATTCGCGTTTTCGTTTTAACCGCTTACGCGTACGGGCCTCTTCCCTCCTCTTCTTCCTCTTCTACCTCTTCTTTCCTCTCTATTCTTCTTCTTCTTCTTCTTCTTCTTCGGGTCTTCCTTCTTCTTCCGCTCGTTTCTGGATCCAAACTATCCCTTATCTTCGATCGCAGATTATCGATCTTCCGTTTCTAATATTGCGATCGGTCAAGTTACTCCGATCGGTCTCCAAACAAACAACTAGGGTCTCCTCGACTTCCTTGGACACTTTCTACGCGTACCTAATATTTCACTACGACTAAGATCCTCGGAGTGATGCACCATTTAAAAGCCTGGCACGGCTACACGAGCGACAAGGGGCATTCGAGCCGAAGCGATCCGTCCCTCGACGTAGGATGGATCTTCCAGTTCGGCGTGAAAACGGTGTGCTCGCAAAGGGTCGGCTTACCAACACCGTTCGACCGTTTAGCAATTTACCGTGATCCCCGTCACGAGTCGTCGACGTGCACCAGCCATTGCGGAACTATCGATCTACTCGCGTGCATCCTTTTCGATCTATCAGTCGCGACACGGTTCTCAGGACGTATCTCGTAACGGGCAAATTCTCCGCGCAAATATCCGCGTGTCCTCGCCGTCCTTTCTTCTTTTCTCTCGTTCGGCTCGTCGATATCATCCGCGACGACGACGAAACGCCAAAGGATCCCTATTACGACCGAAGCACGCTTGTCGGAGGCGCGCCGGACACTGAGGGGCATCCACCACCACTACCAATACCGATACCACCAC